TCTCAACAGAAACCATGCAGGCAAGAAGGCAATGAGGAGACATATATAAAACTCTGAAAGAAAAAACTGCCAAAATTAAAGATAAGGATAGACTCCTGAAAGCAGCTAGGGAAAAAAGAAGGGTAACATACAAAGTCAAGAAAATCAGATTAAGCTCAGATCTCTCAACAAAATCATGCAGGCAAGAAGGCAATGGGGAGACATATATAAAACCCTGAAACAAAAAACTGCCAACCAAGATTGTCAATCAAATACAATGGTGTAATCAAAACATTCCAGGATAAATAGAATGGGATTTTGCCAAAGCCAAGCCTGCTATGAAAAACATCCTAAAGGAAGTTCTGTGGACAGAGAACCAACAAGAACAGACAACAACCAGAGAATGATGTATGTGGCAGCGTCACCTTGAACTCAATCAACACATGTAAGTGTCCAGAACAGAATAAAATTATAAGAACAGAGGATCTGGGAGATCAGTCTATGATCAAAACAATTACAATGTGAAAGAAGGTAAACAAGAGGAACAGAGATCCAGGTGGTGAAAAGTTCAGGTAGATTACAGGATAAAAGAGACTGTCTTAAGTGGAAGGAAGAGTGAATGGAATATAAGGTAACCACAACAGTGTGGTTGGGTTGGGGGGTTCAGTTCGGGTGTTGGGGAGGGCAATACAAGAAAGAGAAGGTGGTGGAAGAAAAAGATAGATAAGGGAACACTGAGATAGGTTTGCAAGGCCTAAGTGGGACAGAGATAAATAGTGATGCATGCTCAACCTTAGAACAACATGGCTTTGTGATACAGGGATCTAGCCATAGTTTGAAGAGGGGAAATAATACTAAAGTGCTTGACTGTCTTATGAATATTGGTTTCCCTTGCTTACTATTGTAAAATAGACACTTGAGTGGGATAGATTACAGAAAACTTGTAAGCCCTTCTTCAATCTATAACTGATTGGAATGTCTAAAAGGGGTTCTAGAACTTGCCCAGTGAAATTGGCCTCTTGAAAAGCCTTTGCAGAGTCTAAGACCTTAGGTGGAATCCTGAGTCCCATCCAGAACTTTCTGAGGTGGGACATTGCCACTAGCAAGGACAATCAGATCAGCCTGGAATAGCTAGAGCAACAGAAGATACATCTTCAAAGAAAGAGCATCAGGAAAACCCCAAAACAAAAATGTCAGCATGACTGGCTACTACAAGAATAAGCAAGCTGTGTGCCAGAAAGCCATCAAGACAAGCAATCAAGTTCCTTCAAGACAAACTCCCCTCTCTGACTGAAACTCAAAGAGAACACACAGACAGGCATATAAACTTGCTGGTGACCACATTGGTCTACTAGTGAGTGGAACAGAGGGAAAGGCAGCAATGAAGAAATGGGCTGAGTTCAACCACAGTCCATTGACTTTCGTTGACCTGGAGATGAAAGAGAGAAGAGGAAGGGCTGGTTGGTCCAAAGT